TGCAAGCGTAGAAGAAGAAATGTGCTGTTTACCTGTGCAAAGAAAGAAACAACGAAAGAAAAATGTCTGAGGACTTCAGTGTTGAGGAAGAGCATGAGTTCTTTGCCGAGCTGAATGCACTGGTTTGGTCTGCCGGCTTCCGCAGCGTCGGGATCGCGCATGTGCGCGCTTTCAGGAAATCCTATACACTACTATTTATGCTCTAAAAACATTCTAAATGACTTCGTTTCGAGTAAATTCTGGACGCTACCCACTCAGGACACTTGGAATACATTGGACGAGCAGTATGGAGGAATATTGACACGTTTTTTGTGGACTTTTATGGACCTTTCTGCCTTGGGCGCCATAGACCTCCATTATTTGAATGTCAGCAGACAGCAGGAAGCCTCCCAGATCTCCAGATGCATTTGAGATATCAAAAAAGTACTCCAGAGTGTTGTTCAGCATGGGGGGGAGTAGAAAATGAAGGCTAATCATGTTTTGGGTGTACTATTCCTTTAAGAGCACTCCGTTAACGAGGTAATCCTCCACAGGTGTGTGAGGAGGCCAACCAGAACCAGGCGCCTCCTGCTGGAGGAAGGAAGACAAACACAGACCACACAGACTGGAATCCTAACACTTGGCTCCTTGGCTCAGTACGTTAGGCTGGTTATCACTAATTTAGGGGTTAAGATGGATGCTGGTCTTAAGATGGAAGCAAACATCAGAGCCGTTATAAAGTCCAGCTTTTTCCACTTAAGGCAGCTAGCCAAAATAAAACCCATTCTTTGAAAACAACATTTTGAAACAGCGATCCATGCATTTGCGACCACACGGCTGGATTACTGTAACTCACTTTATACAGGGTCAGTATATTTCCCAACTTCAGAGGGTCCAAAATGCTGCTGCACGTCTTTTAACAGGTAGTTGAACATTCCACCACATCTCCCCTGTTTTAGCTTCCTTACACTGGCTGCCAGTACATTTTAGGATTGATTTTAAAAGTATTTTATTTGTTTTTAAAACTCTTAATGGCCTTGCTCCTCCTTATCTGTCTGAGCTGTTACATTATTATACGCCCTCCCGTTCCCTCAGGTCAGCTGATCAGTTGCTTCTGAGGGTCCCAAAGACTAAATGCAGCTCAGAGGAGACCGTGCTTTTTCTGTGGCAGGTCCTAAGCTGAGGAATGATCTGCCTCTGAGCAGAAGACAGGCCTCTTCTCTCGCTGCTTTTAAGTCCCTTCTTAAGACTCATCTTTTTTCCTTGGCTTTTGGCACAATTTGAGAGGTTTTATTCTGTTTCTATACTAATATGTATTTTATACTCTATCCTTTCTATTTTATATAATTGCATTGTATTTTATGATTTGGTCCTGTCCTGCTTCATAAATAAAGTTGGTATGCTAATATAAAGATCAGAGCATTCCTCTCTGCATTGAACTGCAGACACCACTCCGCTCAGGTTTGGTCTGTAGGATGAACTAGTCTCTGTTTCAGGGTCTGTTTGGTTTGAAATGTTTGGAGAAAATCCTCTGGAGTTTTTCAGAGACTACAGCAACATGATGGGATGGAGATGTTTTTGCATTTAATCTTAACAGTGAAAACATTTTGTATTTTTTTATGCCAACATCAAGGACTCATACATCTGTAAACACAACCTCTTATTCTCTGCTGCGAGTGTGAGCCGCTTCATCAGGGGCAGCATTTATTAAAGAGAGCAGTAAGGGGATGATCACAGGGAGCTGAAGAAGCTCTGCAGGTTGCTCTGGGATGTTCTCTGTCAGCCACATGGAGAGGACATCAGTGCAGTGACTGAGTGGTGTTTTGGCAGCCATTGTAGTTTTAGTCCCAGATTTAGTTTAGTTTTAGTTACAATAAAGTAATTTCATATATAAAAGTTTTAAACAACATAATAATAAAAAAGGTTTATTCTTGTTTCAGTCAGATTTTGGAAAAAATACTTTCTTTCATGCAAAGTCTTATAAATGTCAGCAATTAATAAAAGTCTATGAAATGTTGGTATCATATATTTTAAAACACTTATATGATTGTGAATACATTTATTATATTTCTCATGTTTTTAAACAGATCAGTTGGACAAACTGTCTGTTTTTTTATTATATGACCAACTGCCTTAGCTGATGAAATGCCAAAACTGCTTTATTTAGCAAAAAGCTAAAACCTTTTCTTTTAACTTAGAGCAACTAGCTGTTAGAGCAGATAATTATGTCTCCCTCCTCATCATTCCCCATAATGCACTTCTTGCCTCATTCGCTTCCCTTCTTACCGACTCCTTTATTTTTATGAGCCGCTTCCATCTGTCCAGACTCAGCAGACAGCAGACTGAACCTATCAGAAGCACTCAGAAAAAAGCTCACAGATGAAATGGAACCATTGTTTATCTTCATGATGGAAAAGATCTACATTAATTAGGGGTGTAAATCACATCCATCATGGCGATTCGATTCAGTATCGATTTCCTGACCCAACGATTCGATTATTTTCGATACTCAAGAATACACCACGATTCGATTCGATTCGATTAATCGGTTAATTTTTTTTTTATTATTATTATTTTTTTTACACCTTACAGGCTAAACAAAGTTTCAAGTTTGAAATAAATCAATGAAAGCTGTAATATCATTATGCATTTTCTTTAGAAACAACAGCAAATAACAGAAGTAGAAAAGTTGCATCAAAAAATACTGCAAAAATACTGCACAATATCAGTGTAATGAGTTCAATGCAATACCTCGGCTCCAGAGAAACTGTCCAACATATTTTTTTAGAATGTAATAAATATATTCAGGAAAGAGAGATGTTGCGTAGAGAGTTAGACAGGAATAAAAATAAACTAGATATAAGGGAATCGTTTCAAAGGTCATCTGGGGATGTAGTTTTTGGGAGTATTTTTAATTTTCTAAGAAGAACGGGTATTTTAGGGAGAATATAATAGTTTTTCTGGTCCATACTCCATTCTGGAAGGTGGCGGTAATGCACCTATAAGTTGTTTGCCAACCGCCATTTAAAAAAAGAAGAAGAAGGCTCCAGTGTTGACGTCACCGCCCCCTCCACAGACGCTCCGCTGCTCCTCTCCCAGATTGTATCTGACCGTAGACAGCGCCGCAGACAGGAGGCCGGCTTGTTTTGTTTTTATGACCGAAATTGCAGAAAACAACTCGTGAAGTTTGACCCGCTAGAAGAGCGAGGTACGCGAGAACGCTGGGACCCTTTTTCCACCTGGATCTCCGCTCTTTTTGGCCCTCATGTCCCTCCGTCGTCGGACTAAACTCGCCCCCACTTCCTCGCCGCCTCGGCCGTATCTAGACCCACAGCGTGTAACGCAGACCACGCTTCAATATTGAGCATAATTTAAAAATGTCTCTGTGAAGCTTGCTCCAACACACTGCTGTAAGACTATAACCAGGAAGCGAGGTAGGAGGGCAAAATAGGTTTAGCGCCACCGCAGCACGGGAGGGAGAATTACGCCCAGGAGCAAATGGATAAAAATAGACCGGAGGAAAAAAAAACATGAATCGATTATCTTGCGGACGTATTGATGCATCGGATTTTGGATCGATGCATCGATACAAAACGATTATTCTTTACACCCCTAACATGAATAGATCCACATGAATAGATCCACACATTCCATAATGAGAGACCTGCTCTTCTGTTTATGTTGTTGTGAAAATCTATGACAGTCAATTCAATTCAATTCAGTTTATTTATATAGCGCCAAATTCACAACACATGTCATCTCAAGGCACTTTACAGTTCAACCAGATCATACAGTCAAATCGATACAAAGTTTTCTATCTAAGGAAAACCAGTTGATTGCATTGACTCATTGACTCAAATACAATCCCCCACACTAAGCATGCTTGTAGCGACAGTGGAGAGGAAAAACTCCCTTTGAACAGGAAGAAACCTCCAGCAGAACCAGGATCTTCAGCAAAATTTAGTTCTACTGTGATTTCTGAGACCTTAAATGTTCACATGAATGAATGTGTTTTGCTGAAGGCTAGCATGCTAAAGGTTCGTGTCTGATTTCTCTCCTAGATATGCTTTTCAGTTTGCACCTTGTCAGGAGATCAGATTCTTCCAAGCTACCAAGGTTTAGTTTGTTTTATTTATACAAAGATGCTGAATTTAAAATGAATTCAGCAGCTTCACTGATTTTGTTTTCAGAGAAAGTCAAAGTTTCTCCTGAAACAAATCCAGACATGTTAACTCAGATATTAAAGTTCCGTTTTTCTCCACGGTGGGTTTGTTGTCGTCGACATGACGCGTTTTCTGACACGTTGCATGTCTGCTTCTGATCCCCCAAAGGTGACAGTCTATACGGCTGCTAAATGTGGTGCAAATCTGGTTGTTGTAGACCTACGCCTATACAGACTTCCTGTATGTTTTACAGTTCGCTGCTGATTCTAGGCTGTGTGTGATTGCTTCCCAGCTTCAGCATCAGGTTTAATATTTCCACTAGATGCAGACTGAAGGAGTAAAACATTCCCAGTTCAAACCAGTTAAATAACTCTGATCTATGTGCTGGGAAACCTGTCATCTAGTCAATAAAAGCACGGATGGTTTATAAATCATCACTCACTGTTTCAGCATTGGTTGTAATTGGATTAAAAATCTCACTCTGGGGAAAAAACAAAAAAACATTAAAATATGAACGACGTGACGCAGCCGACGCTGCTGGAAGAATTTACATCAGAATTTAGAAAGTTAGCAGGTTTTCCATCCAGTTTCCTCTTTTTACACGGGTAAAATATATGGAAGACACAGAAATGACAGAGGCAACCTCACAGGGCTGAATACCTTAAATAAAATATCCAGAACAATAAATATGCTGATAAAAACTGTAAAGCATCGTCCTACAGCAGATAAAGTGGCTCCTGACGCCTCCTCCTCCTCCTCCTCCTCCTCCTCCTCCTCCTCCTCCTCCTCCTCCACTGCTTTCAGCTGCAGCTTTAGACGCTCTGCTGTGTATTTTCTTAGGAAGGCTTCTCTCCCTGCAGAAAACCATCTGATTCCTTCTGCATTGGAAACAAATGAGGGAAAATATGCAGAAAGGTTCTGCTGGTAAATCAGGAATCTAACAAAGACGATCATTATTCTGGGAGAAATGATAATCTGACCAGTGAAGCTGAATGAATCCAGAACATTTGCAGCAGAGTCTTCATTGTGTGACGCCTCTCTGCAGGAGTTGGTGGTTCGAGCCCCGCAAACAACTTCACAGCTAAATGTGACGCCGTGAAAAACACATTTTCTTTACATAATTCTCATTGTGTTATATTGAGTTTTATTATTAATAGTTGTATTTTAATTATGTATTATCTAGTATTGGCTTATTTTTTTATTGATTAAAAAAAGTGAGCGTTAAAAAAACGAGACAATAAATAAATCAGTTGAGTAAAGAAAATAAATAATCTGCACCTTTATCAGACAGGAACATTTCCACAGAGAGGAAGTCTGAGGTTGGAACGCTGCTTTCATCCATCGCTGGTTCCAGTGAAGACGGGAGGTGTTTAATGGTAGATGATTGGGACCCAGATGTTCCTGCAGCAGGCCGGGAACGCTGTGGGCTCCTATAGGTGGCGCTGCAGAGCTTAGTTTCAGAAGACGTCCTCCTGTTAACTCTGCCATTAGGAGCTCAGAGCATTCAGGAGTCCATCTGGGGAAACTGGGGAAAGTTCAGGGGTGATTTTTCCCTCCCACTTCAAACCATTATGGCGTCAGATTGACCTCCTTCCTGTTAGCGTGAGAAGTCTGATGGTGTAATTTAGGAGGCTGTGAGGATGAAACGTAGGCGGACAGAAAACAATCAACATTAAGATGTTTTTTCTTCCTATCTGCTGACGATGAGTGAATTCAGGTTCAAACTGGTCCTTCTCCTCCCTGCATCATTATTCTGCTGCCAGCGGCTCCATCAGAGCTGCACTGCCGGAACGTTCATAATGCATCAGCGTGCCTGAACGCAGCACAGCAAACGCACCAAACTCTCATTAATATTACACAATAATCAATCTGAAATAAGCTGCTTTTAAACATTTAAACTTTACAGTTTTCTTTCTCTCTGAAACATGAACAGAATAAAAAAAAAAAATATTTGAAAAGTTTTGAACAGAAATGAGACTTTGATGATTCTGCTGTTAAACATCAATGATCAATGTTTTTGTTCCAGCCTCAGTCGAGCCGTTAGCGCTCATTTCATCACTTCAGGTTTTATAAAGAATTAGTTTTTATTCCATCAGACTAATTCTCTAATGACTGCTTTGTTTTTTTAATCTTTTCAGTATTTTAGAGTCTGATGTGAACCTTTATGCTTCCATAGCCGACCTGTTTGCCACTGTGGGACAATAAAGACGTTTCTGTTCTATTTTACTCTAATAATACTTTCTGCAGTCAGCCTGCAGCTGCTGCAGCTTCAGCTGTTCGGGTCGTTTTGGTTCCTGCTTTTCTGTCTGCGGTTCTTTTTAAGCAGACTAACAAATCAGAGACAAGCTGAGGCTCCGTTTCTCACCGACAACCAGATAAGATCTACAGAGTGAGGCTGAGATGCAGCCCTCCTCCTCCTCCTCCTCCTCTCTGCTACAGTCACTGGCTTCATTAGGGAGAAGCAGAACCTGGAGAACAACAGGAAGTAGGCCAAAGCGGCTCGTCGTGACTCGAGGACAGAAGCTGCTGAAGGTTCTTAGAACCGTTTCTAAGATCTGGGCCTTCAGAGAAGCAGACAGAACCACAGAGAACCTGGATCAACTTCCTCAGGAGGTTCTACTAAGAGAAGGACCCAGAACAGGCCAGAGGTCAGAGGTCATGGTTCAAAGATCAGACTCTGGGTCCAACTGTCCTCCAGGGTCAGAACAACTGCTGACCCAAAAAGATCAAAGGTCCGATTCAGAATCAGAACCAACATCTGATGATCCAGAGAAAACCAGCAGCTGGTTCTGCCTTCATGGTCTCAGAGCTCTGAAGGTTCTCAGATCCAGAAGTTCTGGTTTGATTTGTTATTTTTATTAACTGGTAAATATTTTCCATCTAAATGAGATCAGAAGCTTAATTTTTATTTCTTTCTTTAAGGTTCTGCTGACACATTAAAAGCCATCGATGAAACATGGCGGTGGCTCCATGCTGATGTGGGGGAGACCTGAGGTGACCACAGGCTGCTCAGCCAGGCTCTCCCTGCTGTCCTTTAGCTCCTAATGAAAGGTTCTCATAATGACGTCTTTCTGTTTGTGAACAGAAAGCTGCTCCTTCCGTCACATTAAACCTCAGTGGAAAATGTACAAATTTAAATGTTTGCATTTCATGAGAAAAAAAAAAAAGCATTTATTCCTCAGATCAGAAAAAAACTCTTTGATTTATTAATAAAGTTGCATTTTAACTGCATTACAGACATTATTATTATTATTCTTTTGCTGATTAATATTCTCTGTTCTATCCTTCATAATTCCTAAACTCTTGTTCCCAGTGAGTCAGTTTTTAATGAATGTATTTATTTTAATTATTTCCCGGTAAAATATAATAAAGAATAGTTTTTTGTGTATTTAAGGGAAGCGGAGTTTTGCGCGTAAAGGCGCCGCGCTCAGCGGGACCAACCTGCGCTCAGCTGCTGCGCTGCTTCGCGACAAATCAAAGAAAGAAAGTCCAGATTTGGGAAATTTCTCTATTTTCTTTTTAACAAGAGAAGAAAAAACGTTTTCCTCCAATGCGCTCCTCCTCTCCTCTCCTCTCCTCTCCTCTCCTCTCCTCTGCGCTCCGCTCCGCTCCGCTCCGCTCCGCTCCGCTGCAGTGATGTCAGCCGCTCTGGGTCATTTGAAGGTCAGCAGCTCGGAGGTTCACCCAAAGTTCAGGCGCATAAATTAGGCGATTCAATCTTTCAGTCGGTGCCAAACTGGAAATGAGGAGCAGAGAGGAGCCGCGGCTTTCCAAACACCTCCCTGCTGAAAGAACGAGGCTCCGCTCACAGCCGAACCGGGAGGAACCTGCCGCTGGCCGCCGGAGAGCCGGGCGCTCCTAGGAGAAGCTGCGGGACCGACATCCTTCAGGAACCCGCTGCGGGACGGAGGAGGAGAAGGAGGAGAGAGAAATCCGCTGCGCTGAGGAGGAGGAGGCGAGTGGAGGAGGAGGGGTGAAGAAGAGGAGTTAGATGGAGTTGTGTTTCTGCGCAGAGCGCTCAGCAGAAGGAGAACATGTTCGACTGCATGGACCTGCTGGCCGTGAGTCCCGGACAGATGCTGGACTTCTACACGTCCAGCTCCTCCTCCTGCATGCTGCAGGAGAAAGCTCTGAAAGCCTGCATCAGCGGCCTGGCGCAGCGGGACTGGAGGCAGCGGAGGAGCGCGCACTGTAGGTCCACCTCCCGCTCTATGGACAGGCCGGGACCCCCGGGGCCCCACCTGTTGCTGCTTTTATTTTATTTTATTTTTTTTGGGAGGGGGGGGGGGGGGTGCGTGGCTGCGTTTTTATTGAAAAACTAGATGAATCACTGAGATCACTGCAGGAACAGGATCACAGGAGAAGTTTGGCTGCTAGAAGTTTATAGAGCTGCATTTCTCAGAGTCTACTGTCCGGGGGGGTGGGGGGGTGTACCTGCGGCCCCTGACACTGATTTAGATAAATAGCTCCTCAATAAGATCAGTGGCTGTTCTCTAAGCTGTGAGGATGAGGATGATAGATGAAGGTTATGCAGGGACTGGATCAGATCAGTTTATTTTACTGATAATAGAAATAAATAGAATAGATGTTGCAGCAGCTTTTACCGTTAGCCGCTGCTGCAGGTCAGGGACCCATCAGGTGGCCCCTACCGCCCCCCCCCCCCCCCCCCCCACCCCCGCCGTCCTGCGCTGTCAGGAGGGCTGCTTATCCACAGCAGGAGAGCTAATCCAGCTGTGACCTTTGACCTGCAGCTGGGTCACATGGTGGCGAACATCTGCATTTTTATAATATCCAAAATATTCCTGAACTGTTTAGATAAGAAGAAAACCAACATAACAGGTGTGTGTGTGTGTGTGTGTGTGAACTCAATAATGAACAATTTCTAAAAATTATTAAAACAACATTTTTGTTTTTCATGCAAAAAAGGAAAAGAACAGAATTATTTAATTAAAAATAATAATATGTATAAATATATAATATATGTAATTTAGTGTGTATTTATTGACGTGTTTCATTTCATCCTTTTCTTTTTAATGTTATTAACTACAATAAGGACCCGGTTGATCTTTTAATGTGATTTTTATGTGAATCTATTGTTGCCGTAGATTTTCCACATAGATCTGCGTATTTCAGGGTTTTTGTTGCTGTGTTTTTCTGCCTCTGCATCTAAATGGCGATCCAGATACGGCAGCATGAGGGACTTTAGACGGAAACGCTTTGCTTTGTTTCACAATCTATTAAGCTTTTTCTATTTTTCTGCTGATTGTATTTATTTTCCTTTTTGTTCTATTTTTTTATTTTCCGTCTAGTTTTTGCAGAAAGTCTTTTGTCTCCTTGTTTCCACATCCAGTCTATTCAGGGACTGAAATAAATGTTTCTTTTAGATTCATATATGAATAATTCCTGATATAAAGCGGTATCATAATTATTGGTTTTAAAACCTTTAATAACCTCGATCTGCATTTTTCCCGCCATGTTAGAGAAAAAGCAGCGGGAGACGTTCCGAGCTGGGATGGAAATCAGGAATGAATCCGTTAAATAAATAAAATAAAGATTAATTAGATCATAGATCAACATTTAGAAGCCCTTGATCAGGAACGCTCCTCTGATCAAACACGCCTCATAAAGAAATGTGTCTTTATTGAGACGCTTTCAATTCTGTAAAAGATGATTTATGTTTATTGTTGCTGCTGAGCTGCGGCTGTTTTTCTGACTGCAGCAGATTCATGGAATTAAACCTTTAAACTGTCCATTTCCTGCGTTAAACGTCACGTTTTAACCTGCTTGTTATTTCGTCTGACCGGCAGCTGGTTTTCCAGCAGACCGGTCTGCTCCTAACGCCGCGCCGTGCCGCCATCAGCTTTCTGTTTAAATAGTGACTCTTCTTTTAAGCCTGCAGGTTTGGTAAAAAGTAGGACAGAAGTTCAGCGGCCCTTAGGGCCCCTCTTTGGCCCCGCCTCGGCCCTCTGACCTGCCCCAGCAGAGAACAATAAACTCCTGCCTGTTCTCCAGCGGAGTGGAGCCTCTCTCCCAGGGTCAGAGGATTGTTGGTTTATTTATTGGAGATAATGGAAACCTCCTGGGTGTTAATTAGCCGCGCTGACAACAGGCCCACCGTTAATGCATTTCCTCACCCAGTTATGATGTTAATTAAGAATGATCAAGGACCTCCTTAACGTAGATGAAATGGGCTTTTCAGGCTGCAGAACGGCAGCCTGTGATGCTGGTGATGCAGGAAGGAGGACCGATTGATTTAATTGCATCAAAATGCAGCTAAAGATAAAGCTAACTGGCTTAAAGGAGCGCAGCCTGAAACAGGCCGGGATGCTCAGGGATGAGCGGAGCTCCACTGATGTGTGTGATGGGATAATTGGAGCTTTTTTTTGTCTTCAAGGCTTAAGCGTGTCTGATGTGGACATGAGAGGCTATTAGCACAGCTTGCACACCGAGCTCATTAATTGGATGTGTGAAATGAAAGGCGGATGGGGAGAAATAAAAGTCCTGTTCTGCTGTGAAATGAAACAGAGCTGCTGGCCGTGTTTAATCAACAGCATTAGGACGCCGTCAGGGTCCCGCTGGAGTCAGATACTGATACCATGAAGCACCATCACACGCCAACACGGAAGAATTAACCCAAAGGCTCCAGAAACGCACAGGATGGATGCGTTTCAAGTTCAAGATGCTTTTCTGGGCATCTTTTGCATCTCAAGCCACACAAACTGGGAATAAAAATTTTATATATATATATATATATATATATATATATATATATATATATATATATATATATATATATATATATATATATATATATATATATATATATATATATATATATATATATATATATATATATATATATATATATATATATATATATATATATATATATATATATATATAAATATTAATAAATATTTTATTTTAGCTTCTTTAAAAAAGGTCAGTTAATGTTTTATTCTCTAATCTAGTTTTATTTGCTAAACAAAGCGCAGCTTTGGACTGTGAAGGCAGCAGATGTAGAGAGGCTGCTCGTGTTGCTTTTAGGTACAACTGGGATATTAGGCTGTTTCTACTCCTATCAGATTTCAACCGGTTTTCATTTCATTTTTAGTTTCAGTCTTATAATATTTTAATATATCAGTGTTTATAGCGGCTCAATGTTGTAAAGTTTCAGGTATTTGATTTAAACTGTTTTGAATTTTTCTTAGCATGCTGCCGACTAAAACTAAAAGTACTGATAAGATTTATTTTCTGTATAAATGTTTCATATGGGTCTCTATGTAGGCAGATTCATGGAAGAAGCGGCCTCACAGGATTATTAGTTTTAACTCGGTTTTCGTTCTTAATCTCCAAGGTTGTGAGGATTGTGGCTTTAAGTAAACTTTATTTTTATATTAGAAGGATTAGTCTTTATTCATTTCTATAGTGAAAATGATCATAATCCTAACATTACTAATACCTGCTGAATTAAAATGTCTTTAGCATATTTCTGTCTTTGTTCCTCCGACTTTTATTAATGTTCTTATTATTTGTTTCAGTTTTTATTGTTTTATTTTTATTGTTTTTTTTAACCTGAACTAAACAAATTGAAATAAATAAAGTTGGTATTTGCTTATAACGATAACCTTCCAAACACTCATCGCAGTTTCCATAGCGATAAACAGGCATTGGACCATGTGACCAGCAGCATTTGGAGCTCAGGTCATGGTTTTCCTTTTTGAGACTTTGAGTTTTTAGTTCTCAGTTTTCAGTAATTCTGGGTTTTTTTTAAATCTTTGGTTTAATTTTCCGTTTTGGTGTTATATTCCAGCAGTCTTTAGTTACTCTCTGCTGCCCCCTTGTGCCTGTCTCCTGTCCCCTAGCTCCCTTCTAGCTCCTTCCCTCCACACCTGCTCCCTATCAGCTGATTGGTCCAGTCTTTGTTCTGTCTCCCATATATACTCTCCCTGTCGTTCTTCTCTGGTCGCCCATTGGACTTTTTCTAACGTTCTCTGGTTCTGATTCTCAGCATTTTTGTTTTTGGACGTTTGCCTTAGTTCTCTTCATTAAACCTACAAGAAGTCATCTTTGCATTTGGGTCACCCCCACACTGACATTTTCTTTCTACCCCGTTTAACTTTCTCTGGTTGCTGTCTGAATTTGGACTTTATCTCCATCAACATCTGGAAATTATTCTGTGATGCTGCGGCTTTAATACTGAATCAAAGGTTTATCATGTGGGAAAAGGCCTGATGCAGGAATATTACTGAGACCGAAACCAGAGTCAGCAGCAAGGAGAACATCTGAGCCATTTATTAGCAGCCCAGCAATAGGTTGGCCATAAATAAAGGGGGTGACTGGAGCCGGAATGGGCGAGAGGCGGGGTCACCCTGGACAGGATCAGTTCAGGATAAGGACGTCTCTTAGTGCTGGAACAGGAAATGTTCTCCATCTTATTACACTGTGGAAACATCTGTAGACCTTCGCTGGCTGCTGTGAGGTTAAACCGGGTCAGACTGGGGACGGGTCACCGACTGATGGTCCGTCACCACTGGCTGCTGTGAGGTTAAACCGGGTCAGACTGGGGACGGGTCACCGACTGATGGTCCGTCACCACTGGCTGCTGGGAGGTTAAACCGGGTCAGACTGGGGACGGGTCACCGACTGATGGTCCGTCCCGCTGGCTGCTGTGAGGTTAAACCGGTCAGACTGGGACGGGTCACCGACTGATGGTCCGTCACCGCTGGCTGCTGTGAGGTTAAACCGGGTCAGACTGGGGACGGGTCACCGACTGATGGTCCGTCACCACTGGCTGCTGTGAGGTTAAACCGGGTCAGACTGGGACGGGTCACCGACTGATGGTCCGTCACCGCTGGCTGCTGTGAGGTTAAACCGGGTCAGACTGAGGACGGGTCACCGACTGATGGTCCGTCACCGCTGGCTGCTGTGAGGTTAAACCGGGTCAGACTGAGGACGGGTCACCGACTGATGGTCCGTCACCACTGGCTGCTGTGAGGTTAAACCGGGTCAGACTGGGGACGGGTCACCGACTGATGGTCCGTCACCACTGGCTGCTGTGAGGTTAAACCGGGTCAGACTGGGGACGGGTCACCGACTGATGGTCCGTCACCACTGGCTGCTGTGAGGTTAAACCGGGTCAGACTGGGGACGGGTCACCGACTGATGGTCCGTCACCACTGGCTGCTGGGAGGTTAAACCGGGTCAGACTGGGGACGGGTCACCGACTGATGGTCCGTCACCACTGGCTGCTGTGAGGTTAAACCGGGTCAGACTGGGGACGGGTCACCGACTGATGGTCCGTCACCGCTGGCTGCTGTGAGGTTAAACCGGGTCAGACTGAGGACGGGTCACCGACTGATGGTCCGTCACCACTGGCTGCTGGGAGGTTAAACCGGGTCAGACTGGGGACGGGTCACCGACTGATGGTCCGTCACCACTGGCTGCTGTGAGGTTAAACCGGGTCAGACTGGGGACGGGTCACCGACTGATGGTCCGTCACCACTGGCTGCTGTGAGGTTAAACCGGGTCAGACTGAGGACGGGTCACCGACTGATGGTCCGTCACCACTGGCTGCTGTGAGGTTAAACCGGGTCAGACTGGGGACGGGTCACCGACTGATGGTCCGTCACCACTGGCTGCTGTGAGGTTAAACCGGGTCAGACTGGGGACGGGTCACCGACTGATGGTCCGTCACCACTGGCTGCTGTGAGGTTAAACCGGGTCAGACTGAGGACGGGTCACCGACTGATGGTCCGTCACCACTGGCTGCTGTGAGGTTAAACCGGGTCAGACTGGGGACGGGTCACCGACTGATGGTCCGTCACCACTGGCTGCTGTGAGGTTAAACCGGGTCAGACTGGGGACGGGTCACCGACTGATGGTCCGTCACCGCTGGCTGCTGTGAGGTTAAACCGGGTCAGACTGAGGACGGGTCACCTGCTTGGGTGAATCTGACCTCAGCTGATGGGAAGGATCCTCCGTTTCCTGGAGCCGCTGAGGAGCTATCGTTGCCATAGAAACTGATGATGGAAGCGGCTCCATGTCAATAGAGGACGTCTAAAATGCATCCGGTCACTGATGGATGGTGTCGCTGGTTCTGATCTGTTCATTCTGTTTCTAGGAGGTTTGAAATGTTCTGTTGTTCCGGTGAGCTGCTGAAATCTGGTGATTCTGGGTTTCTGTCAGAACTTTAAGGTCAAATCGGTTTGCAGAGAAACGCTGTTTGAAGTCTGGTTGCTCCTGTGATGGTTGCTGCTGGAAGCCAGCAGAGAAGCATGGAGGAGGCGGTATGATGACCGGGACTCTTCTCTCCTGATCCACTCTACCCACTCTTTACACTCAGTCTGTCATCTGATGTTTCACTCCATACTCCCTTTGACTTGTTGTCATGGTCACAGATTGTAGGGGCGTGGCCTTTGGGGCGTGGAAAGTCAGATTGCCTCATAGAGAGCAGGATGTTTGATTCAGACTGTCTGCCTCTCCTCAGCTGGAGGCTCATCGTCGCTGGATGCAGCAGAACCTTTAAAGCGGTTCTGTGCAGCAGAAGAGCTGCTAACCTTCCAAGATGGCCGGAAACTGCCTGAAGGCTTCAGCTCCTTTGCCATCTGTTGGTGCATGTTTTCCATGTCACTGGGTTTGTGACTGGGAGAACTGGGAACAGTTTGAGCCCACAGAGGGTGGAGGAAGCACGATGGAAAGCAGTCACTGCCAGCTCATTGTGTCTGTTCGCCTGTCTGTCCGCCTGCCTGTCTGGTGTCAGTAGGTCCGGTGGACAAGTGGGGTGGGAGAAATAAGGTGAGATTTAAAGGAGGGACCCTGCAGAATATTCACACTCTATCACCATCATGGTGAGCCACACCATAGCCACAGCTGCCCTGGAGCTCAGACAGAAGTGAAGCTGTTGTAACCACCGGGCCCTCTGGCCTCCATCTGTTCTCCTCACAAACAGTTTAAAGGGGAACGCCGTTTTTTTACATTGGTCCTTGATTTTCCGTTATTCCATCATGTTCTACTCTCCCATCTGAGTTTAGTGTCATTTGGAGCCGTTCTGAAGATATTCCGTTAGGTTATATCCAGTAACGTCTTCCTCTGGGCAACGACTTGAAGGCACAAACTAAACTGTTCATCATTTATTCTTTATGGTACGCCAGCATTCAGAACATGGAGGCCAATCACTGTCCCATCAACGGTGCTGAAAGCCGGAGCCTGAACCACTGTTGGAAAAATAAAACTGGGAATATCTGTTTGGAGCCAGGAATGAAGAACGTTTTCCTTCTTTCTAAAGATTCAAACCCTGTTTTGCCTTCAGCCGCTCTACCTCAGCTCCTCCGTTCAGTTTAAAGCTTTCAGCGCTTGGACTTCCTGCGGAGGATGAGGAGAGCACCCCCCCCCCACCACCACCCCCCCACCTTCTCCAGAAGCACCATAGAGAGCGTTCTGAGCAGCTGTCTCACTGTGTGGTGTGGAGGCTGCAGCGCCTCAGACTGGAAGAAGGTGAGAACAGCAGAGAGGATCATGGGGGCTCCTCTTCCCTCCATTAAAGACATTTCATCCCAGCGCTGCGTGTCCCGAGCCCGTGACATCATCAATGACCCCTTCCCCCCCCTTCACAGCATTCAATGCAGGACCAGCAGGTTCTGCAGCAGCTTCTTCCCCACCGCCATCACACTGATGAACTGATGAATAAAACAAGAAAAAAAGTGCTAAATGTTGGAAAAACTGTGAATTAAATCTCAGTCTTATTGAAATCATTTGATCACTGCTGCAGTTTAAGAAATGGAAATGTCTTGAGGGCTGTACTGAATGAAATGCTGTTTTGTATAAAGTCTGTCTGAGTCTTCATCTCCAGGGTTACAAAGATGGCTTCCTGCTGCCATCTACACGGATTAAAGCGTCATCAGGGCTTCATGAGAAACTGTGCAGTTTAACATCCTTCATCTGATCCTTGGTCTCAGAGTTAATCCACACAGATGTTCAGAATATCTCTCTTTATTGCTGATATTTCTGTTATTTTGCGGGCGGTTGGCATAACGCTGTCATCAGGTAGAGCAGGTCAGACTCTCCAGGTGGATTCAGGTGTGTTGGTGGATCTAAGCCACCGTTTGGCTCCATGATCTCCCCTCCCAGAAGCAGGACTCAGCCAGTCCTTCAGGACCAATGTAGGGAAACATGAAAAGGCTGGTTGTGATTTCATCCTGTCCTTTGTTTCCCCTGCAGCCATTGAAACGCAGAGCGCCAGTTCCGAGGAGCTTGTCCCCAGCCCGCCGTCGCCGCCGCCTCCTCCCAGAGTCTATAAGCCCTGCTTCGTCTGCCAGGACAAATCCTCTGGGTACCACTATGGCGTCAGCGCCTGTGAGGGATGCAAGGTAGGACCATCCAACAACGATCAGCTGTGCTGTCGTCCTTTTTCTGCTTGATGTTGGCGTTTTACAGGATTCTGTTCCAGAGCGCTGCCTGCTCTTACTGTCCACTGCTGACTGAAATCAGTTCTGCTTCGCTGCTTGTTTCCATCAGCTGAGCAAATTTGGTAGATTTCAGTTTTTCTGTGTTTCATCTGAAGTTTAGTTCAAAGTCGACCTCATTCAGTCATTTCAGCCTTTTTATCAGACGACGCTGTTAGAAGGTGATTCATCCTTAAAAAGCTTTCAGATTCAAATCAAATGAGAAATTCAATGTTAGACTCAAGTCACAGAGGTTGGAGATGACCCCTCCCCCTAATGCATGGGCGGTTCTAGACAGGGGCCAATGGGGGCCAGTGCCCCTGTAGATCATGTCTTGGCTCCTGTTATGGCTGCTGTACTAAAGACTGCGCTGGAACAGAAATGGTTACTGATCGGTCCTTTGGATCTATTTCATTTCTTTTCTTTACTAATTCAGTTTTACTAATTATTTAGAAACAATAAGGTGATAGCTTCAGTGGTGCTGAGAAAGGATCCCAGTTTTCATCTGCTAAAATTATTTTTTCAAACAAATTGCTCTTTTACAGCTGAATTGATCAGTTTTTCTTGTTCTAATTCAGAAAACAGTAATTTTAACATAAATTAAGTCAAAAATATGTAAAATTCCTCAATTATGAATGTAGATTTATGGGGTCCCTCCCACTAATGGGGAACCTCCTCCTAATGCCCCCCCCCCCCGTTCTGATCTTCATTCCCTTCTTTAGTGCATCAGCAAAAATAAAAACCCAAACATCAACTGTGACCCAGAAACTCTGATTGGTTTGGATGAAGCTCAGTTTTCCAGCTTTAGGAATTACCTTCACAGAAATATCTGCCCAGCCAGCAGTTATCTGTCTGCAGCTGTTGCTTAGTAACCGCTCATAGATGCTGCAGATCTGTTCTTACTCCTTAATGTTGTGGTTACTGATATTCATGGGGTGGTGGTGGGGGGCTGTTAAATGGTTTTAAAAAGATTTTTCTGACTGAAATCTGAAATCTGTGGTTCTCTGTAATCCGCCTTTTCTATAGTAACTGATCTTTTTTAACCGTTAAAAGACTTTTTCTTTGCTTAGATTAGAATGTCTGTAAAAGTCGTACCGGTTCTGCAGCTGGAAGTAGGACGTCTCCCTCCACCGTGTCTTACTGCAGTCAGGGTGATGCTGCTTTATTTCTAATCTTACTCTGTTTTAACCAAAGAACTTCCTCTACATGTTCTCTCATCTTTTTATTGTCTTTTCTCTGCTTTCATTTTTAAAACATCAAACAAGTTCAATAGACTGATCCTCCCACCTGAGCTTGGATCTCTGCAGCTCCTCCACATCCACCATGGTCCTCTTAGCTGCAGCTCATCTACTGTCAGTTTACACCGAAAAAGTAACATAAAATCAGCAACAAAAACATATAAGGAGTTTATCTACTCTTAAAACAAGATAATTTCGTTCTTACATTGAAAAAGATAATGAAGATGTTTTTTTTTCCTATTTTTGAAATCTAAATTTCTGGACTTTGTAGCATTAATTGATTTAAATTGACCCTCTGTATGATAAAAAACTTCAAACATTTGTATTTTTGGGTCCCTTTTGGAGCTTCAAGTCGTTGGGAAGTGTCTGTTCCAATCGTTGCATTTCCGAATTCTCCCAGTGGTGCCCGACTTTACACGAGTGAATAAAGTGAATGTGATTGGTCGATTATCAAGGACGCGGGATCGTTGTGGCTGAAGGTTCAGCAGCAAGTTTGGTTGTAGCCGGTTTGTGGGAAGCATCTTGCTAACCAGTTAGCATCTTAGTGCTAGCAGGTTCCTAATGGGAAATTCCATTGGGACCAAGTAGCACTAAATTGGTGCCTTAGAAACGACGCTGTCAAGGAACGCTATGGACAGCGGAAACATGCAAGAGGAGGAGAGTTTAGTGTCGGAGGTCGTGGATGAGTCTCCTCCTTTCAATGGAGCGCTCCCAGAGCTCAGAGTATTAAGTTAAACGTTCTCTTTCCTGTTGCTGTTGTTCAATAAAAGTACGTTTTAACATCATTTATAGTGAGAAGATTATAATTTTAACCATCGCTATATGGACCATTTACCGATTTAATGTGTAATTTAAAAAAGATGTTCCGAAGTTGAGAGGCAACTAGCAGAGCTCTGATGGTAATGGCAGCCAGGGCTAACGTTAACATGTCTGCGGCAGCCAAGGCTAGCGTTAGCCCATCAGCGGCAGCCAAGGCTAGTGTTAGCCCATCAGCGGCAGCCAAGGCTAGTGTTAGCCCATCAGCGGCAGCCAAGGCTAGCGTTAGCCCATCTGCGGCAGCCACAGCTAGCGTTAGCCCATCAGCGGCAGCCAAGGCTAGCGTTAGCCCATCAGCGGCAGCCAAGGCTAGCGTTAGCCCATCTGCGGCAGCCAAGGCTAGTGTTAGCCCATCAGCGGCAGCCAAGGCTAGTGTTAGCCCATCAGCGGCAGCCAAGGCTAGCGTTAGCCCATCTGCGGCAGCCACAGCTAGCGTTAGCCCATCAGCGGCAGCCAAGGCTAGCGTTAGCCCATCAGCGGCAGCCAAGGCTAGCGTTAGCCCATCTGCAGCAGCCAGGGCTAACGTTAACCTGTCTGCGGCAGCCAAGGCTAGCGTTAGCCCATCAGCGGCAGCCAAGGCTAGCGTTAGCCCATCTGCGGCAGCCAGGGCTAACTGTCACTACCTGATCCTTCCTGGAAGCACGATCCGTCCTGCGCATGCGCAAATAGATCCGGGTGTCAATAAATATGTAATTATGGTACTAAAACTACTTATTTATATCCATAACTCACTAAAGAATACTAAAACACATCTGTAAAAAATGTTTTATGACTTTTGTTCTTTTTACATTTTCTCCATTAAACAGCTTCTCTGACGTCATCATGGCACATGCTCAGAGCAGTCTGGCTAAATCTGATCAAACCACATTTATCTGCATTTTAGTTGTTTCTTTCTTTAGATTATATAACATAAGGTTAAAACGAAACAAAAACGTAAAACTCGAAAAAACTAGATTTATGTTTAAATCCAAAGTCTCTTCCCGAACAGCAGGAAATGCTGTTTGGGAAGAGACAAGTGATAAAACAGAAAGGATTTTGAGGCATCTGAACAGAACCATCGGTCCCGTTCGATCAGTATCCACCGAGCCGCTCAGCATCCAGGACACCACCACAACCTGCCGCTCCTTTCCCGATGGCCGGTCCACGCCTGCTTCTAACACTTCTGAATATTCAACCGAATTCAGCTGCATTGTTTGATAACCACGAGGATTTCTCACTGTATTGATTTAATTATGATCAGACTGACTTCTAGGCCTCGCGGGCAAGGTCTATTCGGGGGTGCTGGAGAGGAGGGTCCGTCGGATAGTCGAACCTCGGATTCAGGAAGAGCAGTGTGGTTTTCGTCCTGGTCGTGGAACGCTGGACCAGCTCTACACCCTCAGCAGGGTCCTGGAGGGTGCATAGGAGTTCGTCCAACCAGTCTACATGTGCTTTGTGGACTTGGAGAAGGCATTTGACCGTGTCCCTCAGGGGGCCCTGTGGGGGGTTCTCCGGGGGTACGGGGTGCCGGGCCCTTTGATATGGGCTGTCAGGTCCCTGTATGACCGGTGTCAGAGCCTGGTCCGCATTGCAGGCAGTAAGTCGGGCTCGTTTCCGATGAGATGGTCCTATTCGCTCCATCAGGTCGTGATATGCAGCTCTCGCTGGAGCGGTTCGCAGCCGAGTGTGAAGCAGCCGGGGTGGGTATCAAGGCCTCCAAATCAGAGGCCATGGTCTTGAGCCCGAAAAGGCAAGAGTGGCTTCTCCGGGTCAGGGGGGGTGTCCTGCCCCAAGTGGAGGAGTTTAAGTATCTCAGGATCTTGTTAACGAATGAGGGAAGAAGGGAGCGGGAGATCGACAGGCGGATTGGCGCAGCGTCTGCCATGAAGCGAGCGCTGTACCGGTCCGTCTTGGTGAAGAGAGAGCTGAGCCAAAAAGCGAAGCTCTTGATTTACCGGTTGATCTACGTTCCTACCCTCATCTATGGTCATGAACTCTGGGTCATGACCGAAAGAACAAGATCCCGGATACAAGCGTCCAAAATGGGTTTCCTCCGTAGGGTGGCTGGGCTCTCCCTTAGAGATAGGGTGAGAAGCTCGGTCATTAGGGAGGAACTCGGAGTAGAGCCTCTGCTCCTCCACGTCGAGCTTCCTGGACGCCTCCCTGGTGAGGTGTTCCGCGCACGTCCCACCGGGGGGAGGCCCAGGAGGAGACCCAGGACACGCTGGAGAGACTATGTTACTCGGCTGGCCTTGGAACGCCTTGGGGTTCCTCCTGAGGGGCACGAGAGAAGACTGGGCCTCCCTTCTTAAGCTGCTGCCTCGCGACCCGACCCCAGATAAGTGGAGGCAGGTGGATGGATGGATGGATGGATGACTTCTAGTGCCTTAAGAGGACATTAGTTGTGAATGTGCATCATATAGATGAACTGAAGCGAGTGTGAGATCCAGAGGATTGTCTGTTTGTTCAGCCGTAGGCGAGTCCGGCAGATTGCAGGTTTTTAGATTTGGTTGTTGCAGAAGGCTGGTGATGTTCCGACCCGGCTGGCTCTCGGATCAACAGTCCTCTGTAATGAAGCAGAGGAATGTTAGGAATCCTGTGGAGGTTTTGGCCCAAAGGAAGGCGGGATCAGTTCCCTCATCAGGCTGGGGGTCAAACTGAGGTTCTGGAGGACTCCAGAGTTCCAGTCTGAAAGATCTGATCTCAAGGCCTGAACATGGACAGCAAACAATGAGAAGCAAAGACTCGCCTGTTGGATGTTTGATTTTCTGACTGATGGAGCAAACAGTTCATTCTAGATGTGTGTTTCTCCTCTCTGGTTTGATTTGGCAGCAGGTTCTGTTTTGGTTCCCATCTGGTTCCCGGCTCTCCATGGCAAAGCTGAGGCCCTTT